AAAGGGGCCAATCTCTTTAGCGGAATCGTAAGCAATAGAGGAGCATTAAGCCATAAAACAAGTGGCCTGGACTTGAGGAACATTAAGTTCAATAGAAATTGATAAAAGCAAAACAACAAATAATTGAAAATAACCCATGAATCTAAGAGCAAAAACCAGAAGAGAGTAATAAAATATTTTTGGGTGTTGTAGCCTTTCAGTTGCTTACTTCGAAAATTATGCAGAAAACCAGATAGAAATAGAAAATAAGAGAAAAGATGGAGTTTTTTTAACAATGGAATTTGCGGGAAATTCTTGAAAGAAATGAAAAATACCAAAACTCATCGTCTTTATCACTTTTGCTTTTATAAATCCAAGATTCCCACCAAACATGTTCTGATCGAGTATGATTGTACTGCTTTATATTGCTTTTAGCCATTTTTTTTCCCTACCACAGCTCATATACATGAATAGAAAAGTCAAAGAGTATGCACCTGAAGCTAGCTTAGAAGAAGACGACGATTGATAGACTCAAGCTAGGGTGTAGAAAAATAAGAGGGTTGAAAACTCTAAAAGGTAAGAGAAGAATTAAAATATTTTACTCACATTAATTTGAGAATATAAAATTTTATCTCTCATTTCTCTTCTAAAAAATCTTATTTTTGAAGGGGAGGCTAGAAAGAAATAGAAAGGAAGGAGAAGTCTTCCCTTCTTTAAAAAATAACTCAACCAAGCAAGAGGAGAGGAACAACTCTCCTTCCTTCCTTAAAAAATGTACCAACCAAGTAAGGGGAGGTGAGCAACTCCCCTCTCCTCCTCTTCAAAAAACCCGTATCAAACATAACGTTAAGGAATCAGAGGAGTATTAGTTAGTTAAGATAGGCTCTATATAAAAAGTTTTTGACTTGTATGTTTAGCGTTTGGGATGTGGAATCCTCCAAAAAAAAAAAAGGAGGGATGATAACTTGAGTCTCTCTCTTTAATACCAAAAGTTTTGGGCTGTTTGTTATCTTCTTTTGAGAAAGGATTTAGTCAATCCTGAAGGATTTGTTGTATCTTTTTGTTAGTAATTAATGACATTCATTATCTTTTATCTCTTTACTTAACTCAACGAATGATGAATAAAGGAGGGCTTGCTTCTTTCTTTCGCCATATAAATTGTTGCAGCGGGAATCTCCTTAAGATGGATAAATACATGACAGAACACTGATCTGCGCTACTTTTTATTTAAAAGAGCAACGGCCAAACCATTATCCCCCAAGTATTGTAGGCTTGAGGCATTAGATCTGGATCTGTTGTCAAGTTATTATCATATCGATCGGCTCTGTGTTGTGACGGCTAATATGAACAAAAAAGAAAGACAATATAATGATCCCAAAATTTATCTCATGCATCACTTATATTTTTGCTGCATCTGGCCTTGAACCACAAGTTTAATACCTGCAAAAGAGTCATTCTAGATTTGACAATTATTCAGTACGGAAGTGTGGAAGGCAAAACATTGAAACTTTTGCCTGCTTCTCACAATTCAATTTTGAACTGAAATTAAGAGAACAAAAGCCAAACAGCGAAATTAATTCCACGGAATAAAACCTAGAAACTAATTAAATGAAGGAGTATGATTATATTACCAGTGGAATGAAGGGAATTAGCGAAGTTGATGAGGAATATAGCATAGCAGAGTTAGCAGGGAAGGGAAAGGGAGGAAGAACCAGAAATCACCGGAATGGGCGGCTTTGGGAAGGAAAATTAAGCAAACATACAGAGAAAGAAACATTTTCCATCTCACTTTCTCACTTCCCAAACCGCCCATTCCCACAACTTGTGGCTCCTTCAATCTCCCATTCCCCCCAGCTGCCTATTTCCAACTTTCTCTTCTGCGCCCTGACGGAAATCACTGCCTTCCCTCTCTGTATATATAAAGCCATCGACATGGAAGAATCCCACTCAAGAGGGTATAACTGTAATTTTGATGTTAAGTAGTGAGGACATCCTGACATAAGTGGAAACCCCGAATCATACTTTTTCACAAGTGATAATTTTGAATTAGAGGGACCTACAACGTTTTACTTGCAAGGAAATTCATGCCATCAAGTTGCAAAATTTGAAAATTATTAGCATCGCATGATAAGTTTGAAGTTAATAAATATATAATTTAAAATAAAAATAATCCTTGAATTTTCAATGAACGTGAAAAGCATAACTTGCGATTTAAAAATAATAAATTGGAAAAATTTAGATTTCAATTTTCAACCACTTAAATTAATTTTGGATACTTCAGATTTGCGATAAAATGGGCAGCGGGAAATGGCAGCCAGCCAAGAAAGGTGCGGTAAGATGCTTATTCACCAAGGAGAAAAGGTGTTGGAGATGCCTTGCGTGTGTTAAACGAGGAACGCCAGCAGGAATCAACAAAAGCTCCTTTTCTTAGGAATCAGCCGAATGTTCGCTGGAATATGGCGGAAAAAAAATCAACTTTATTCTCCACACATCATACGGCCTCTTAGCAATTAAGACTCTGTTTAGTGAAAGAATTTTAATATTCCTTTTATACTCCCTCCATTTCTTATTATAAGAGACATTTGATATTTATGGCATGTTCCTATATAGAAGAGACAGTTAAAAGTTGTCTTTATTTTTTTGTGTTGATTTCCTATTTTACTCATATTTATTGTCTCCTACTCACACTCTCTCTTCTTTCCACTTCTCTTTCTTTGAATAATTTACCATTGTTCTCTCTCATGATCTCTCTCCTTATTAATGAGGGCCTTTTTGAAAAAAAAATTATACTTTTTACATATTGATTGTTCTTAACTAATTTTAACTGTTTTTTTTTATCAACGTAATTTGGTTATTCGTATTTTATAATAAGGAACAGAGAGAGAATATACACACACATGGCACTTAATATAAAACAAAGTTGCTAATTTAAAAAGATTTAAAAAATTATTAAATTACTTAATTATAACATATATTAATGGTCTTTATAAAATATTTCTATGTACCATTAGATTATTATCACTTTAAGTAAGTTAAATTAGTTTTAAAAAAGTAATAAATATAAATGCTTTAAAGTACTACTCCAGTCCTAAATATAAAACCCTTATAGTGTGTATAATGGTCTTATATTTAGAACCGGAAGAGTAATTTAATAACTTTCTTAATTCTTTTCAAATTAATTAAATAAGTTTTATATTAAGGGTTAGTGGTAATAATACAATAAAATGCATGTATACACGTGAACATGCTAATGCTAGTTTCAAACCTAAAATCTCATCCAAATATGAGGGGTTGTATTGCTGCTAGAGTAACTAACGGTTGACAAATATTACCTCCGGTCCTTAATATAAGACCTTGTTTGACTTTTATTTTGGTTCTAAATATAAAACCCCAATTCACTTTGTCTTTTATATTTATGTTTTTTTTTCAAGATAGTCTTTCTAATAATAATAGTTCTAACTAATACACTTGATTAGTAAGGATGTTTTAGAAAAGATAGCACATATTTATTACAAATAACTAATTTAAGTTCTTTTCTTATTTTTTTCAAATTAGTCAACTATTTTTTATAAATAGGATTAGAGGTAGTAGTTTTTTTACTTTAAGAAAAATGGTTAGCTATAAGTATTTTGAATTAGTGAACCATACCAAATATGACATAGTATACAATTTTTTTGGGGGGGAAAAAACTCCTGACCCCCCAGGTAACAGTGCACTGTACAGTGTACATTCGTGTCTTGCTAGTCCATTTCTGTTCTGTCATGTCACAATAGATTGGGCCGAACCCGTGACAAGGTTTGGACCAAGGCTAATAATGGGCTCAGATGGGCTTAAATTTCAAAATCCAAGGTAAGATTGGATGGGCTTTTTTAACTTGGACTTTTTTTTACCAGCAAAAATAATATTTTGACTACAAATTGATCAATATTAAAAACATTATGACAATATTGCCTCGTTATCTAATAGGCAAAAAAGAATTCATATGCAATTTCAACATTTTTGTCGCATGAATTTAGCGAACAAGTCATGTGCTCCGGGTACATACGAGATTGAGTGATCTTAATAATTTGAAACAATGTTTAAAAGGGCAATACATACATCAAATTTTTTACATTCATCGTGTCAAATTCTCCAATCATACATAGTCATGAGTCTCATTTTTAAAATATTATTATTTAATTATAAATCTATATGAAAAAAATAGGACACATGTTGAAAAACTTGATATCACAGATATAAGCGACTTGAATAAAAGATTTCCTCTTGGTGAGCTCTAAGGATTCTCATAAATAAAAATAAATAAATAATCATAGTTCAATGTGATAAATTTACACTATACAAGCGGGAAATTTGAGGACAATCTTAATGGTCGATTTATTAATTTAGTTATTCAATATAATTCTCCTTTTATATAAAGTGTAGAGAGAGTAAACACATAAAAATTGAAAATGATCTTCATTATTCCTATGTTTATACTATTTCCTCTCTACTAAAATGCACTTTATAGTCAGTGGATAAGCAAACAAAACAAAAATCCCTGTCAGCTTGCACAAATAATGGAGGCCAGGATTGAGAAAACCTGTGGTCACTTGTATTGCACAATGAAGGTCTGATCTGATTCTTGGTTTAAATCAAATCTGAAGTTGGATCACATGATGCCGCATTATTATTCTTGTTCATAAGTAATACGCAGCATGCAATGTTACAACCTTAATTAAAATGGCTCTCTCATCATCTCTGTAATTCCAGAATCAACTTCTCCAAAATCATCTTCTGAAACCAAAAAAAAAACAAAAAAACAAAAACCTAACCCTACATATTTTCTGATCCATAAACCTACGACCCTAGGCAAACCGATCCTTTAATATCTCACCCTGATAATTTTCCAAAAGCAATTATAACCACCACGTCAAAAGCTATAACTTTTCTCCAAGCATTCATTCATGAATCTTTTATCCTCCATGTACGAACGGTAAAACCGGTCTACTGATCTAAAGCTTTCAAGGAGAGACCGTTTGCATTTAGTAGGTTTCGTCGTCGTCGTCGTCGTCATAGTCTCCTAGGGGACTGGGAGCAGCCGCGTCGGAATCATCCATTCCCGGAGCTTCGGCTTCGCCGGAGGAGGCCGGTCCTTCTGCAGGGGAATAGGCGGGAGAATCTGATGGAGACTCAGATGGGGAGGATGATATTGGAGCAGAAGAAGGTGATTCAGTGGTAGTGGATGTTATTTCAAGAGACTGCATTTGCATGGCAGGACCGTCGGCCTCAGGGGCAGACGCCGGAGTGGCTGCATCCTCGCCGGAAACTGCAATGATGAAGAGCACGAGAATGAGGATCCGGAGAGGCGACATGGTTGATGCAGCAATGAGTGAAGAAGTTATGTATACTGTGTAGAAAGGACTGGAGAAGAGGATTGAACTGATATGTCACGATACGATTTGAGATTTTGAGTTGAGATGAGAAGTGTGAAATTGGGAGGAGAAGATGAGATGGTGCAGGTGATATTTATGGGTTGAGAGGAGAAATTGAGGGAGGCTTGTGGAGGAGACAAAGGAGAGAGAGAGTGAGTTCAGTTTTAGAATGAATGGATGAGCGCATGACTTGTTGAAAACTAAAGAGTTATATATTATAATTATAATTATAATTAAATTGAAAAAATGTGAACTGAGTTAAATCTTTTAATTTCATTAATAGAGAAGACACAGCATATTACCAACAAGTATTGGTTATAGGACAAGGAATATTGACCATTTAAATTTTAAACACGACGCCTTAAATAAATGCAAGAAATGTTTTAAGAGAATTATTTTTTTGAGTTCAACAATATTTGAATCTAACCTAGTGAGACAGAAAGAAGGGAAAAAAAAACAGTAGTGTTGTTACCCCCATTTTAAATACTCTTCGGTCCTATTTATAAATCACTTTTAACATGTTTTACATAGGCAAAGAAAAACCTTAAATTTCATTCGCTTTTATTTAAAATTCAACAATTTTCTAATTTTAGCCTTATTTAATATACATTATATCTCATATAAATAAAATCAACACAATAATAAATAGAGGATAAAATTGTACATCTTATAAAATTTTTTTTTCTTAGTGCCGTATAAATAGGACTAAAAAATATCTTCTCTTTCTGCCCTATAAATAGGATTAGAGGAGTGTAAGATATCAATCTATTTTATTTTTTATATTTATTTATTTTACCTCATAGTCCCAATTATAATTATACATGTTAAAAGATTATCATTTTAATGCACATGATTAAAAAAATATTTTTAAAAAGATAATACCTATTTATTATAAATAACTAACTTAATTAATTTTTTTAATATTTGCAAATTAATAAGGAGAATGGATGGAAGAGGAAGACACAGTTTCAGAAAATGCTACGAAAACAATGCTTCCTAATGTATAAACGCTACCAACTAATCTTTGATGGGAATTCCCTTATAAAGTACTAGCTACCTTTTCACAATAGTGATGCATGAAACTTCTACACTATTTTACATGTCATCACGCATTATATTTACAAATTATAACATTATCTGGTAGAAAATTGTGTTGTTTTATTTATATTTTCAAGTAGAATCATAAATGTTATGATGTCAAATGAATTAATGCATCTAAGAACTTTATAAGAAAAACAGTTAAAATATTTTCTACATAAAATTGTTGAATCATTCGAACTTCTTTAATTTTTTGGCTTCAAATTCAAAACTTTCTAAAAGACCGTCACAGCCAACAGAACCACGTGTTCTTTGACCACAAATCTCAATTCGATGCAAATATGTTTTTATTTAAAAAGTTAAATTGACTAATAGATTTAAATAACCATGCATGAATTTCAAAACAGTTCAATATTATTGAATTAAAAGTTCTGGCATGTTTACTTGCTTGCTGCGAAATCAATGTAAAAGAATACCATAATGTAATCGTAATCACTATTGATCTTCGTTTTATTTCGTAGACCACGTAAACCAATTTATTTTTTTAATTTAAAAAAATGATATTTCAAAAAGACGAAAATGGCCCCAATAATTAAATCTTGAAAAGGATGAAAATAAAGAGAAATTTGGTTAAAATCATCTCTTTGAGAATAAGTTTATTGACCAAAAGGATTTGGTGTGACTTAATTATCTTTAATTGGTACAACTTTTTTTTTCAGCAGTGTACAACTATATATAACTTCTACTAAGTTTTCATATCAGCAGTCATTTACATATAATTGAAGATATGTTACACATAACTGAAGAAAAATTATAACCGGTAAAGATGTGTTGCACTTGCTCAATGTCCTTCTAACCAATAAAATTCTAAAAAGGTACTAAGTTTCCGAAAAATAATATGAATAAAGAAACAAGAAGAAGTAGAGATATACACCATATATCATCTTAACCATACTTGGGATATAACTCATTAGAAGCAGCAAGGACTTTGGAAATCTCAAGAATAAGCCTAGCTTCAAATTCATCCCCAGAATAGCCCTTAGACACTTGACGAGCTTTTGGAATTCTCTTTCCCCCAAATTCATTCTTATTACTCAATGACCCTACTGTTCCAGCCAGCCTTACCATCAAGTCCTCATAAGCATTTTTCAGCTTAGACAATAGCTTCAATGGCGTCTTCACTATGAAACTCAGCTTAGGTCTTGCTTTCATCCTCCAAACCCTACGTCGCTTCCCTCCCAACCATATCACCTCCTTCTTCTTTCTGCTGGTGACGGCTCCGTCGTGTTGTTGCCGGGCTCGACTTCCTCGGTACCTTGTTGAGAGTGAATCTGGCTGCTTCATCATTTCCATGTTTTGAAGAGATTGTGTTTAAGAGATATGAAAGAGAATAAGCTAGATTTTGCTCTTTATATAATAAGCATGTGGAAAGTAAAAAATAAAACTATATGATTACGTTGATTGGTTGAAAACTAGGGAATTTTATTCAGATTTTGCTTTGAATAATGAAACAATTCAACAAAAGCTCCTTTGACCTGAATGGGAAGTAATAAAAAGTCAATTCAAGCAATCTTTTTTTAAGGAGCATATATATACATGAGAGGTTAGATTTAATTTGTTTAAGCGCAGAATTTTCAACACTGTGACGGTAATACGGTATATATGAAAGATGAGTTATTATTTAAAATTATTTTGGTTTGTGGTTATGATTATTTGTTCGCTTTTTCTCCCCCCCCCCCTCTGTTCGGCTATGAAACTTGAATGAACAAATTGAATATGTGGATTATGCGTAAAATGCAAGCAACTGCATCTAGAATCTTAGAGGTTACTGCAGTCTACTGCCTTCATTAGGAGATCTTCTATTGTATATGCAAATCCTTTGACTTTTTGTTCATATCATCATCATGTGATAAATTTGAATATCCCAAAGCAACTATGTGAGAAGAAAAATACATACAAAATATTATTACCTCTGGCTCAAAATATAAACTAAACTTTTTTAAAGGAGTTGGTTTTTTTTTATAAGACAACATTCATTTTGTCCAAGCATTTAATGAGTTTTTTTTTCTAATTTTACCCTCATATTCTCTTTCTTCTTTAATTCATTTATTACATCTTTTACTTATTCTCTTCATTAATAAGGGTATATTAGGAAAAATAAATATATGCCTTACACATTTATTGTTTTAAATTGATTTTAATTAGTTTTTTGATAAATGTAAATAGATAAAATTTGGCTTATATTTTGAACCGAAGAGAGTACCCTGTAATCTTTAATATAAAAATTACTTTGACCTCAATTTGGTCCTAAATCTAATATTCTAATTCACTTTGTCTCTTATATTTATCTATTTTTTTAAAAGTAGTCTTTATAGTAGTTGTAGATGTTAAAGATTTTATGAAATAATAGTTCTAGCTAATATTACTTCTGGTTCTTAATATAAGAACTCGTTTGACTTTTATTTTGGTTCAAATATAAAACCTCAATTCACTTCGTCTTTTATATTTATCCATTTTCTTTCAAAATAGTTCTTATAATATGATAGTTTTAGCCAATACACTTGATTGATCAGGATATTTTAGGAAAGATAATACCTATTTATTACAAATAGCTAATGTAACTAATTTCTTTAATCTAGTCAAACTAATCAACTACTTATTATATTAAGTATAGAAGATAATACATGATTAGTAGGGGTATTCTAAAAATAATAATATCTATTTGTTACAAATAACTAACTTAACAAATTTCTTTAATATACTCAAATTAGTCGATTAATTCTTATATTTAGAACAGGAGGTAATAAAAGTTTTATTTTTGGAATTCACATGTGAAAAATGATTATATATATAAATATATATATATATATATATCTCCTCCACAGTCCACACGTACGTATGCCTAAATTAACTCCAATCTCTCAAGAATTTATTATAATGTTACTGTATTATAATAGGGTTGTTTTTATTGAAACAATGGGGTCATTTTTCATATCTCTCTGTTTTTTCTCCAAAAAAATTACTTATAAATCTCAGGTAAAAAATTAAATATAAAAGAATCCTAAATAATTTATTTATTTAAATTTTATAAGTTTGAAAGTTCAACTCAACTTTTTTTTTTTTCCTTTGATAACTTGAGCTGTAAATTTTGAAGTTTGACTTATAAGTATACAAGTTGAACTCGTAATTTTGTAAGTTTGACTTATAAATATAAATTTTTTAAAATATTTTTATATTTAATTTTCTTATAAATACAATTTTTTTAAGGTAAAAGTCTCGCTTCCTATTATTTTTCAGTTTTTATCATGTTAATTTCTTTTTTAAAATTCAGCCGTACTTAATCTTTTTGACTTAAGGGGTGTTTGGTTTTTTCAAAAAACACTTTTAAAAAGTGCTTTCACATAAATTGAGATAAACCTTCTCTTACATACTTATTTTGTATACTGTAAAATTATTTTTAAAATTATAATTTAGTTTCTATCTAAATACTCTTTTAGACAATTTACTACTCCCTTCCAGGAAAGGGACCTTTGCACCCATCACATGCGCACCAACTCGCCCATATCTTGAAGTATGAACTCAGAAACATCTCGATAAAAGAAGGAGTGGAGTACCATGTAAATTAAAAGCTTTTGGCAAACTTAATTACTCCTTCGATTCTAAATATAAGAATTATTTTGTAGTGTAATTTATATTACAAAATAAGTTTTATATTTAGAATTGGAGGAGTAGGTTTTGTCCAACACTTTTATATTTACTAAAAAGGCTGAGAAAGCATCTAATTAATTTTTTTTATATTTTTACCCTTTCTTTTATAAAACAATTAAATAGGAGGTCTGCTAACTCAGAAACATGTTTTACTGCCATCCAAACTATCATCAACGTATTTTTTTTCCAGCTGAATCATCAACGTATTGAGCTGCTTATTCATACAAGTTTAAGGAAAAAAAATAGCAAATAAGTAATAAATTATTTGAATAATTTACTTATTTAACTTCAATTGTATTAGGGAATTTTTATACGCCCAATAATGAATTCAGTATTGCAAACCAGTAAATCACCAAATAGCCATCTTTGCAAAACTAATCAACCTATGATATTATATAACACTACAAAAAAAAAAAACAATTTATTACTGACAGAATTAGTGACAAAAAATTATTCCATAGCTAATTTCTAACGAGTTACAGACAGAAATTTTGTTGTTAAATTTAGCGACGGATTAGCAACAAAATTTTTACGTCACTAATATTAGTGATAGATTAGCAATGAAATTTTTGTCCATCACTAAATTCTGTTGCTAATCCGTCAAAACATTTGTTGGTAAATATTTAGTGACAGAATTAGCGACAAAATTCTTTTCATCAGAAAATTTCGTCGCTAATTTTTATTATAAAATTTTTAGCAACGGAATTCCATCGCTAAATTGTTTTGTCAAAGAAATTTTTAGCGACTAATTCTAGTGCTAATTTAATTTTTTTACAATTTCGTCACTAATCTATCACTAATTTTAAATTTTATTATTTTAGATTGTAATCTTATAATAATTCATATAATAATCTAATTAAGAATATAATGATTTAAATATATTTTTAATTGTAAAATAAATTGACATATTTGTGGAGTTGGTGTTAATGAAGGAATCATCATGACGTCATCGTTAAAATTAATTCCTCTTGATTATTAATAATAATTGAAAAAATATAATAAGAATATTAATAACTTTGTTATACAAACTGATATAAGAAAGAAATAATTTTACCATATGTACAATATATTAAAAGATAATATATGATAAAAATTTAAAATCAAATAATAAATTTATATGAACACCTCAATTTATGATTATAAATCAAACTAATATTAAAGTGAATTTTAAATTTCAACCATTAAACAATAAAATTTAATAATGATATAATTAATACCTACGATATAGATTGATTTTGATCTTCAATACAAAAATAAATTGTATATACAAAGAATTTTAAGAAAATAAAATATATAAGATGCATATATAGTAGAAAAATGTTGTTTATCATAATCTATTCAAATTATTTAATTTTTTTATATAGAATAATTTATTAGATTTTATTATAGTAGCTATTTTTTGAATAACAAGATTTTTTTACTAATTATAAATAGTTTTCATCAAACGTATAAAACACATATAGATAATATAATATAATGTAATATAATACACATATAACTAAATTATATATCTTATCAACGTTAATTAAAAAATTAAATTTGAAAAACATATTTATGAAAAAATTAGTTATGATTTAAAATTCAAAATTAGTGTCATTGGAAATTAAAATTATAATAAAAATATTTCTTAAAAAATAAAAATTTATAAAATAAATTGTAAAACAAATAGTTAAAAATTATTTTCTCATTAAAATAGTTATGTTTAAAATTATTATATAGTTCCTTTTTAGTTTTGAATAATATATATAATTGTTTGTGTACAAAAATATTATATATATATATGTCACACCTTACTATTGTATCCACTTAGATTTTATTTAAAACCGCTTTAGACCACATTAGATGGTCTTGAGCTCACTTTTTACCTTAAAAACATTAAATTTCGGATTTTTACTGTTTATCGGGTAAAAATTCAGTTTTTCTGGCCCAACTTCAAAAATTCATAACTTATTCTAAAAAAATCCAAATGGGGTGGTTCAAAATTCTAATTAAATCTCTTTAAGTCCTCGTTCAAGTAAAAATAATCTCATGATCCAATTCCTTATTGAAAAAGTGTCAGGTTTTGTGAAATGCAACACTGTCCATTTGTCAAAACCCTTTTTCCCAAATTCTGACCTTTAACTTTGAAAAATCATTAAAATTCGTATTCTTGGAAATTTTTAACGTATTAGCTATCAAATTGAAGCTCAGGACGTTATCTTTCATCATACCAAATTTTGTGATTAAACGCATCTGGGAGCATAATAAAAAAGTTGCACGAACATGGCAGTGTCAGTGTGTTTACAGCACTGTTAGCTTAATATATACATAACCAAAAAGGGTCCACGAATTTTATGGCAAAACACCATACTTTAGCCTCCAATCTGCAGCTTGCTCATAGTAGTTTCGGGCCCTAAAATGTTAGATTATATTTGGGGGATGAGATTTTAAAAAATCCTAGTAGCAAGATCAATCAACCAAACATTAACATGCATTATTATAAAGCATTTCAACATTAGCTATCATATGAGAACTAATCTTTTATAAATAGACAACCTCAACATGCAAGGCCATGGCAATATATGCAAGGAGCAATCATATCACAACATCATAGTTCAACCATATAATAGCAAGCATACATATATGCCATAAATAACAATACAAAG